ACCAGGACTTAGGCAGCTCTAACTGCCTCCTCAGCACCCAGCACAATGCCCGAATACAGTGCACATGCTGTTAACGTCTGCGGAGGTAGAAAAAATGTTTGGCCCTAAAGACGTTAAGTATTTCAAAAGGAATTTAATAAGATGAATCATCCCTAGGCCAAGGCAATGCCCTACTTATTGAAAAGTAGCATCCAGTATAAGTATAACTTGACTTTATTTGGAGTAGCACACAGATAACTCTTTGTTTTTGCTTACAAAAAATTTTGTTTACAAAAATTTTCAAAGAGCCATTCAGTTAACAATACCAGAGACAGAATAGAACATTAGTACTGTGGCCTTGCTCTTGGACTCTTCTTATGGTGACCTCTGTAAGGCTGATATTTGCTGCTTCTGTCTAGACTTTTGTCACAGGTTGATTCCAAATATTTGGCCCAACAGAACTACGTGAGGATGGCAAAAGTCTGAAATCGCTAGAGCCATCTTAAAACCAGTTCTCCTGACAATAAATTGGAAGGCAGAGAGTAATCTGGGGTGACCACTCTTCATTTATTTATTATGAGGTTTTTTTTTTTTTTGAGCCAGTACAATCCTTCCATACTAGTTTTAATGTTAAGAAATTTTATATCTAATGGAAGATGTACTGGAACAGAAAGACGCCTTTGTTGAATATCTAAGGATAAAAATCCGCTCAGCAGTCTTTTCTCGAGAAGTGTCAGCAGCTCACTCGATTCACTGGCTTCTCCTTTTCCCAGCGTGGTTATAAACACGGTGCTCGACGACTCGTATTTCAGCCCACATCCGTCTCTACGACGACGAGAAAAGGAGCTCGAGCTGTGTTAGAACGTCATGGCTCTACGTCCCTTTAGAGAGCACTGTATGTGGTGGCGTACAATGCGCGTCAGTGGCCTCGGTGTGCTGTAGAGTGGGATGTAGAGTGAGGAGCCCCACTTGGACATCATCCACAGGGCACTTGGTTCCAGAAATGCATGCATCTCTCTCCACACGTTAGGCGTGCTGCAATCATTCCTAGGTTAGCAGCCACGGCTGCCTTAAGGACACAAGAATAGGGCTCTCCCCAGACATCCTGACCTCCGTCTTCCAGCCTCCAGAACGGTGAGAAATCAGTATTTGTTGCTTCTCAGCCCCCCAGTCGATGGTATCTTTGCCGTAGCAGCCCAAGCTAAGCCACCAGATCTATGCTGCCCAACACGGTGCCGGATGATCTTCTGTTTACGGTCTGTCTCTCCCAGTGGACCACAAGCCCCGGAGCCCAGGACGGGGTGTGGTTCACCACTCCGTCTCAACACAGCCTCCACCTGCGCTGGGAAACAGCTCCTCTTCCCAAAGGCCGTGGGAAAGGGGGTCTGAGAGCCCTCCCAGCTGAAGCTGCCTGGGATGTGCAGAGTTCAAGGCTGTTAGCAGGTTCTTGCTTGAAGCCCGTCAGCACCTGAAAGGCACCGCCCCGTGGAGGCCCTTCTTGGGGAGCAGGGGCCTCAGCGTTGTAGCAGTAAAGGCCCCAGGTTCTCAGACAAACGTCCGGCTGTCCAGTCAGGTGGGCTGATAGGTCGCTGCACACAGTTCCCTTTGGCACACACGGTTGCCGGCATTCCTCTGGCCGCCTCATATAAGAACCGCCTTAAGGGGAGCCTGGGTGGCTTAGTCGGTTAAATGTCCGACTTTCGCTTAGGTCATGATCTCGCGGTTCGTGGGTTCGGGCCCCGCGTCGGGCTCTGTGCCGACTGCCAGCTCAGAGCCTGGAGCCTGTTTCAGTCTGTGACTCCCTCTCTCTCTGACCCTCCCCTGCTCACACTCGCGCTCTCTCTCTCTCTCCTAGAAATAAATAAAAACCTTAAAAAAAAATAGATATTGGTTGCTTTAAAAAAAAAAAAAAAAAAAAGAACCGCCTTAAAGCCCTTGGACCCTTCCCGTGGCATCGTGTCACCCGCCTTGCTGTGCTCTCAGGTTTAAGAAGGGATTGTTTTCCTTCCTTCGCGTTCATGTATGTTTGTGTCTCCCCCCCCTTTTCCCGCAGAGCCGAGGTGTGTGCGTGATCATGTGCACGTGTGCTTTGTACACGCAGGCTCGGGGGCCTCCTGCCCGTGTGAACGGGTCTCCCTTGGGCACCAGGCCAGCTGGTGTGTGGGGCTGCCTCTGCCCCCAGCTCCTGAGGGCCTGTCGTCGGCAGCCAGCCCACGGGGACTCTTCCCCACGCAGACTGGAAGGTGAGAGCCCGTGAGAACATTTTCCAGCCGAGGTATTAAAGAACTTCACTTAGAGGTGGCTTCTTCTACGGCTGAGTAAGGGTCTCCCCCCACCCCCCATTCAGTTTTAAATGCACTAGTGAAACGAATCCAAGGGCTTTTCCTGCAGCCATTTTTTTGGTAAGTAATTTGCAGGTGGCTTTTCTTAAGGATACCGGGAAGCGGGGGAAAAAATGACATTAACAGCTTTGTTCGTGACTAAAGGGCTGTTCTATTTCGGCCCACGGCAGCTACTCACACCCTCCATTCAAGGCCACTTGGAAAGCAATGGTGACAACCATGGGAGCCCCCAGCCACGGGCACGGTGTGTTAGGTCAGCAGAAGAGTTTTAAATCAAAGGAAACTTAATCTACGCACAACTGCTCTTTTGAAAGTCGGGAGAAAATCTGTAAGCTTCTTGGCAGTTAGAGTGTTTCCAATCAAAACACATTTTCTTTAGAGCTGGCATTCAGTGTCAACAATGCTAAGAGCCATTACACAGAAGCCACTGGGACAGAGCCTGCCCGTTCACAGCTCAGGCCAGGGTCATGGCGCTAAGGGTCCCTGTGCGCCTTTCTCCGAGCTTCCATCGCTCTGCAATCTGAAGTCAAGGACAGTGCAGTGTCAGAAGAGGCAAACGGCTGGACGTGGAGTCTGGGGGCCCACGCTCAAGAACTGTAAGTCATTTTATTCATGTGTCCGGCCTACTTTGAATAAACGAAAGCCTAATGATTGTGAGCCGGACTGTGTTTGGTGCTTGGTATGTGTCTCCTTTGGGGAAAACACAAAGCCCCAGACTCATCCACAGTCCCCGTTACAACAAGGGCTTGCCTTTCCAACAACTGCTGGCAAGCTCCCTTGAAAGATTCACGCGCGGAACAGAACGCAGGCAGAAAGGGGTAGATGAGAGGCCGGAGTGGGCTTCCGTCATGTGCCCCACTGCCCTGATCCACATTTCAGTCCCTCACATTATATGGGTCTCTTACACAAACATGTTGAAAATAAATAGCTGAATCTGAATGATTTTTCAAAGCAGCCCGAGTCTTTTTCAGAGGGAAAATGGTTCCAAAGAGTAGTGCTGGAGGCAGAAATGTAGGGTCTGGAAACTGTCTCCAGCTGCTAATGGCCTCTCAATGATTCGAGTTTATTCCGCTGAGCACAAGTGAAGGATGACGTTTCAAGAAAATCTGTAGCAGCAAAGACAGATTTGGTAGAACCGACCAAGCGCACACGGCACAGGTCTGGAATAGAACACTTTGCTACTGATGGTATTAAACCATTTTCAGTTTTGCGTGATTTAACGAAAAGAAGGCTGGGCCTGTGTAGAGCGGGCCATTCTGCCCAGAGCTCTCTGCCTCGAATGAGGCCCGGCTGCCTGTCCCTGCCCGTGCCTGGGAATGTGGCCACCGAGGTCGTGACTGGGCAACCTCTGTTCTAATGAGACTATCGGGGAGGAATCAGAGTCCTCTGTGGGAATCGGTAGTAAATCCGGAGTGGGCAGGTAAGAGGTGTGGGGGTTCCAGACTTCAGCCTCTCGCAGGCTTCCTGGCCTTTCTGTCCTCCACCCCCATCTGGCCCCGATGCAGACGGGTGAAGGGTAGAGCTGCCCAAACAGAGCCACGCAGGCAGGCGATAAACCAGAGCCCGAGGCCGGTTTCCAGCGAGGAAGGCCCCGGTCTCCAAGCGCCCAAGCCCGACGTCTGGGCCATGGAGCTCCCACTTGCCCCCCCCCGGCTCAGTGTAGCCTCTGCAGCCCAGGGAACCCCGAGGCGGTGGATGCTTACCTCAAAGTGGCTTCTCGAGCCTACAGGGAATGGGAAGGTGTCTCCTTGACTCTCTTTAAAATAATCCAAGGAAGAAAAAACTTCCTTCTACCCTCTCAGGGTCTGTGGCTGGCCTAAGAATTCAACGGACATGAGACAGACTGACAGGAGCAAAGCATACACGTGTATTTAATATTTTTATGTGTACCTGGGAATCTTCGGAAGAGAGCCAAGAAGCCATTAGGCCCAGAAGCTTATATACCTTGTACACAAAGGAAGACAAATCGTGGGGATGTGACTGGACAAAGCGGCTTGGGCCATAGGAGGGGGTAAACAGGGAAATTAATACGTGGGGCGGGGGGGCTCATGGGAGGTCAGGGTTACTTTAGTAGTTTGTACAGATCCATTCTGGCGTCGACCCCCAGCCCCCAGTGATGAGAACTTTCTTCTCTTCCTGGTGCAGGGAGGCTACCTTTCTCAATGCTGTGACCTGCTTTTGGGTAGAAGGGGGAGATCAGAGAGCCCTTCTGGCATCTGCTGTTTCTCAATGGCCTTCAGTTCCAGTAATCAATGTGCCAAGGCGACATACGTTCAGGGTGGCGTGTTCAATGACGGTGTTGTAATTTCCTGCTGGACAAGAGAATTTGAATGTTTCACGCCTCAGTTTGCAGGGACGCCGAGATTAAACCAAGGCAAGTACAGTGACTGACGGGAGGAGTCCCTCTGTGTCCAGTTCTCTCCGTTGCGTGATCAGTCCCAACTCAGTGTGGCCTCTTGGACCCTCTTCTCATAAAAGGGACCTGGACTCGCAGAGCTCAATTTAATCTACAATTCAGATTCTCCTGCGCGCCTGCCACAGGACAGCGTCTCCTTAGGCAGGACGCAGACATCGCCTGTACCTGCAGACAAAACCTCTGTATTAGTGTCCCACGTCCCTGTGGCAGTAGCCGCTTATTAGTGGGAGAGAAAAACTCCAAAATGAAACACGGTCCAATCATTTACTTTAACAAAAGATTTATTTGAAACAGGTTTGTGCAGACATATACCAGTCAACAGGATTGATCAAAGCCACAAATCACTACATTTTCCCAAACCTCTAAAAATACAAGTAAATGCCCTTCATTTGTATTCACTCCAGGAGGGCACCCGGCTCCGCTGTAATGTGCGGCTGTAATTTAACAACCAGGGGACATTAACAAGACGTGAAAATGGTAACACTTCTAGAGGGAGGGAACAAAAAATCCCCACACTCCACAGACGCGCTCGCTACTCTGCTGGGAGCCAATTAAACGTGCCCCCACAGCCCCGATCCCCTCTGCATAACCAGATTAAAACCTCCCTGTCGCAAACAATATTTAGGCAATCGGAACACAGACGTGACGGCACGCAGGGGGGCACGTGGCTCTGCTCGCAGGAGAAAGACACCACAAAGATGCTGCACTCAAGCAATTCGGGGGCCTGCAGCAACGACACTGCAGGCAGGCTTCAGACCCCGCTGCTCCTGGCGGCCCCCGGGGCCTCACCCCTGCAGCTGGCTGGCGGCGGCTGGTAGCAAGGGCCCTGCAGAGGGAGGCCCCCGCGGAAGCAGGGGGCGCGCTTCTGAACTCGGCGATCACTGGCAACGCGGGAGAAAGAAGGTGGAGGAATGCGTGTGTCCGCGCACGCACTGATTTTATTCACGAAAAACCCGGAAAGTAGCTGCTTTGTGCAGGGATCTCGCGGGAAGGAGAGACACCCGACGGGAGGGCAGATTCTCTTCTTCCGTTTTTAAACCGGTGTTCAGTAATCCACCTGTAGCTGCGTGGCTATCTTTACGGATATGGCTGAATCGAATCCCATTGCAAGTGGGCTCACATCCTCACCTTCAGGCTTCCCCCCTCCTTCTGGCCCCTTCTCTGCCACACTGAAGAGCCTGCCTATAAAAGGCTCTTGATAAGCTCTCTTGACCGCTCGGTTTCCTGGGCAGGCTTGTTTGGAGAGCGCTATTACCTCAACTTTCTTCTTCCTATTTCTGTCATAAATCAAAGCCACCTGACACTTCCGTTCCTGACTTTTAAAAGGAACACATCTCCTTTCTTTCTTTAGCCAGGTCAGAAGAAATGCCGATGGGCTAATCTTGTGAGCTTGGTGTTTTTCTTGGGCTGGAGCCTGAGAGAAGGAGCCGAGTGGATGCCTCGGAGGCAACTGGGGTGAGAGACTGTCATTGAAAAGGAGCCAGCCTGGGTGTAAAAGAATCACTCTTTTGTCCCCTCTCGGTCAGGGGAGCACAGGTGTCTGTCAGAATTAACAACCCTGAATTTTGCTTGGGGCGGGGTAGCAGGGTGAGCGAGCCCCCCTATTTCTGCCCCCCCTTTTTTGTAGCTTCTGAACACTATGTTGGCCTCAGTGGCCTTTTGCATGGAACACTGCATCCTGGTTTGCCAAGGTCGTATCCAACAAGCTAAGAGAGAGCTTCAAATGGAGTGCAAGTTGAGGTGTGGCATTCGGCGAAGCTCAGGTACTATCGAAGGAAATGTGTACCGTTGCACAGGAGCACCCTATTGGGATGCTAAGAAAAAAAATAAATGAAGGCTACCACACATCGAGTATTCCGGGTCTATTCCTTTTGGGGACGCTTCTTAATATACCATCATGGGGGATCTTGAACTCTCACCTCTACAACCCCATGGAAACCCCTGTAACCATCCTCCTCGCCTTTGAGGATGGGAAACTGGCTAGGATGAGTCTAAATAATCTCTCCCAAGGCCATACTAAGACCAACAACCACGTTGAGCCAATGGAGAACCCGCAGCAAGGCCAAAGGATGTCTGCCTTTCCTTTTTAGTGGGGAGGGCTTTATTTCCACCATCTCTATCACTACTGTATTTGCTAATATAAGCATTTGCATGAAGAAAGTAGTTGATGGATGTGAGGGGGGGTGCCGTCCTTTAATTTGACCCCATAAACTCATTTCTTTGCCAGGTTATTATTTCGGGTTCTGCTTAACCAGATTTCCCCCTGTCCGCCATTTTTACGGACTCCAGGAGACGAAGTCTACATTTCAGACGCTGAGGCGAAATCACTCCTTGAATTACTTTGGGACAATGACCCTTGGTAGTGGTCCGGATGCCAGCTGAAACGTGCACACTTCCTTCACATGTTCAAGACGAAAGACTACCTCATCCTGTAGCAGAATTTTGCAAACATTCTACTTGACTTGTGGTCTGAGACATAAATCCCTAGGAACAGAAATGTGATAGAAGATCCTCTTCAAAAAAGGAGATCAAGGGCCACTGTTGTAACAGATATAGATTATGGACTATAGTCTTCTTTTAAAAAAATTCCATCTAAACGCCTATAATATATACATCTATATGCATTTTAGACATTAGTTACTCATACGTGCTTTTTCTTTTTCACTATTCACTGCTTCTTGACAAGTTATCACTGATTGTCACTGCCAGCTCCCTACAACAAGACCTGAAGCCCTGTCAAGGGAAAGAAACCGCCAACAGAATTCCCAGCCTTGCCCAGCCAAAACTCAGGTTCAAGATTTAGGATATTACTCCGTGGATGTTAAAGCGACGGCATCTCCTGTCTCCAAAGCGCGGGTTTTGTACGCTCTACTGATTCCCCCCAAAATGATCACGTTTTTGGGAGATGGGAGAACATAAAGCTGATCAAGAAGCCCTGACTATTTTGCAGAGAGACAGGATGGACACATCAGCCACATCCCCAAATTGTGACAAAGCCCATTCTGACCGGCAAGGGAGCGCTAATCCAGACAGCCGAGCAGAAACGGCTGGTTTAGTCTGGTCTCCTATCCTGCCTTTTGAAGGTGCGCTTTCCAGAGCCGCCCTTGCCCGCCCGTGCTGGTATGTAGTGGAACTCAAAACTCAGGGCGTGGAATGGCCGGTCTTTTCCTTCTGTGGAGTCAGCCAGAATGGAACACAGACTCCAATGAGAGTCGGCAGTCTGTGTATAAACCAGACCAGGGCCGGGCCTCGGTGGATGCTGCTACTTATAGGCCATGTAGTGCTGACCAAGTCTGACCTGCCAGCCTGTATGTCACTTACCATGTGGCGGAGTGACAAGTCCCATGTGGCATTTCCACTGAGTTGACAGCTAGAGTATGCAACTTACTCCAGTCCACCCTGCTCCCTGGGGAGGGGCTGTGTGTGACACTCTGACCTCAATTTTGAAGAGAGGACGGATGACACAGCCGCTGCGCTGGCCACGGCTAAATATTATACATCGCACACAGTGACAGCTGTTTCTCCTCGAAGCCCAATTTAGTCATGTGGCTACCAGAGAACGTAGCTGCGCGAGAGAACAGAAAGGTATCCCATCTAATGGTTTCTCCTGTGTGCATGTTTCATAACTGCAAAGACTGCTTAGTCCCATTTTCAAAAGAATTGGAATATATACTAAAACCTCAGAAAATCTGAGCTGCATTTTTAAAAAATAAAAAACAAAAAGCCCAAACACACACACACACACACACACACACACACACACACACACACACACACACACGAGTAATTCAAAAATCTAATTCTGAAGGCTTCAAGTTAAAGAAAGAACTAAGAGTGTGACAAAGAATGAGTTTGAGTTCCCCATTCCAGACAGGCTTCGTTCCAAAGGAAACCGAATGGTCAGGATGCCTAACGCACATTCAATTCAAATGTTCATTTCTCCTATGCATTTAGGACATCATCCTCTGGGTGTCCAATAAAGACATTTGCCTTGGTCTGTCCTGTTCATTACAGGCACATTTTGCGGGGGTGGGGGGGCATGTAATTCCTGCATGACAGCCCTTCCGTGATTCATCTCGCTGGGTGCTCTAGCATTTAAAAAACGGTTTAGCGTCTTGGGGAGGTGGGAACAGCAATTTTTTAAGCCTCACTGTATTCTGCTTCCCTGTAAGCCCTCTCTGAATCCTGGTCATGTCATGAGTGAAGGATTAGTTTTCTAAGTCAAAGCAAATCATAACTCTCTGTTATTACAATGCCCAGTGAGATGTGGACTTCCAAAAATAAAGGATAAGGAAGCAAAGTGCACTATTGTTTTATTTCCCCATTTAGCCCAGCCATCGCTGAAGAGCTGTGCCATTTTAAGCAGTAACAGCTGCCCAGAAGTATTTATGTTAAGCCATCCAGAAATCTGGCTTGGCAACCAAAGCGGGGAGGAGGGAGCATGCCTCCAGGCTGGTCATTTATGAAGGGCTCCACGTGCTCACATTCATGCCCGAGGGCTCACAAGTTCCATCCAAATTTAGGAGGCGGCAGTTTGGAAAGTCGGTGACTCAGCGCTTCTCTTCCTTGCCTGAGATTCAGGACACTTGACTTTCCGAGAGGCTCTAACACCTACTCGATAAGGGAGGAAACTTCCTCTACACAGAGATGGGCATTTCCTTAAAATGTCTGGAGTTCTTTTCAATTAAAACTGCACGTCAACGTCTCGTGCAGCCTCCTGCTTGCATTAGGCTGATGGTCCCAACTGCCTGGGCTGCAGGGCGTGAGTCCAGCCTCCACTGAGACTTGGCTGCCATGTCCTTCGCGCCTTCCTCCCAGTGTCTCTGTGGCCTTGCCTCTTGCTTTCTCCTTTGATGGTTTTCTTCCTCCACCAAGCCTCAGGATCCCCGACTCTCCCACTGGATTCACGCATTTTCTCTGATTTTAGAGTGGCAGAGGGACAGGGGTGTCCCTTCACTGGGGGAGACACGCTATAAATTCAGTGGTTCCCCAACAGTGAAAATCCAAAATGTGCTCCGAACTCCCAAGAAAGCACGTGCGGGTCTAATTTAAGTGGAAGCCAAAGTCCAGGGGCCTGGAGGTTGGGGGACGAGTACTAAGAGCCTGGGCAGGGCAGGACCGTGGAGGGATGCCACCACACACTGACCTACGGGCTTCTCTGTCCTGGGACAGAGGCAGACAAACACTCCCAGTGTATGCGGGAGAGCTATGCTTCTCTTTAGTTATAGGAGGAAGAGGGTAGCGTGGAAGAGTGGGTTTCTCACCTCGGTCTCTGAATCTGTGCTAGAACAGGAAGTAGGGCAGATTTCATTGGGTTGCCCACCGGTGGCCATGCGAGGAGCACAGCAGTCAGCCATGCGGAAGGTCTGAGATGACGAAGGCCAGTGGGCCACAGAAGCACCCGGGAGGGGTGCAGGAGAACCCTGGCGCACCCCTCCGTCTGCCCTGCTGTAATTGGGGAGCACGCTCCAATAAGTGCTTGAGTGAGCCTTCGCAGGGCTACCACGCTGACAGACACCTTTGTGACGTCACTGCAATCAAGAAGTCTATGCCCACATCACACACACAACAGAGGAATCAAAGCGAGACATCAGCCTGCCTACAATGAAGCTTACATGCTACCCGGTGGACCTAATTCTGTGAGTCAGCATGACAGGAAGTAAGTGTGCCCCCGCAGCCAGCCCACAAGGGGGGTTTCTCACGCAACATCAAACCCCCTTGCTTTCTCCCAGAACAGCTAGCACTGGTGTGTAAACGTTGGTGAAACGTAACGTCTTTAATTTCACACCTCACAAAGCAAGTCGAACGCTTAGTGACGATGTAAACGGAAGTGAGGCCAAGCACTGCAGACACGCAGGACGGGGAAAAGATGGCTGCCCCTGCGGGGGCTACTGCAGGTTTGCAAGGGACTGGATAACTACCAAACCGGTTGGCTAAGGCCACGGAAATGTGTCGCATGGTGTTTCGGCTGCTGACACCAGTCTCTCCTGCCAGAGCTGTGTTAACACTCCGTGCCACGAACCGCATCTCCTTCCTGGGACCAATCAGGACAACTCACGTTCTTACTTCTTCTTGCATTTCTTTTTGGTGGTGTCGTAAGCGCGTACGATTTCTTCCTGAGTAACAGCTCCGTGCTCTTCTTGAGAGAAGGCGTACCCATCTGCAAGAGGAGCACCGGGGGACTGGTTAGGAGGGGAATGGGGGGCACGCTGGGTTTGGAAGACAAGGCTCTTTTGGGGGCCCTGCAGCTGAGTTTTGCCATGCTGGGCTCACTGGCCTTAGGTAGGTGGGGGCCTGGGACGGACAGACCTGTGGCCCGGATGTGAAACATGAGCCGAGCGTGGGGCGGGGCAGGGCAAGGCCTGAGTTGGGGGGGACCCGACCGGTTCTGGCCAGTGCCGCTGGGGCGGGAAGGGCTCAGGCGGTGGCCCGGGCTCAGCCAGAGAAGCACAAACAGCAGGTCACCCGCCCATGCCTGCACTTTCCCAACCGCCTCTTGCTCTGCTCCGGAAGTGTCCCGCTCTGCCTGAAGCCGCAGGCTGGCCAGGTAATTTATGAAGCTGCAACCATGCCGGGGAGCACACACCCAACGCCAGCAGCGAAAAGTGGCCACGTGCGCGTGACACTCGCTGCATTCCTGCTTTTCAGTCGGACTGATGTGGACTGGCAGTAAGAAAGCGCGGTGCAGTTACTTTTGTGTAAAGAAAGAACAAGATCACAAGATAAAGTCAAGAGGCCATGGGGCCACAGAAGGCCGGTTCTCACCAATCATAATAACAATCCCGGCAGCAGCCTCCAACGGTCATTAAATGCTACGTGTGGCCAGCCATTCCGTGTGTTGTGCACAAATAGTCCATTTATTCCCCGCAAAGGCCCTACCAGTTAGGTAGTATTCTTCCCATTTCACAGATGGGGAAACTGAGGGGGCAGGGTGATTATATAAACCTCGTGAGTGGCAGCACTGGGAGCCAAACGCAGCCTACAGTTCTGCGGGACCCATACTCTCCTGCATGTCTAGTTCGGAGAGAAGTTTAGCATTTGAAAGCCCGGGGTGGGTCCTTCCTTCCTAAAGGGTCCTTCCCACAGAAGGAGCGTTTACAAGACTGCGTCTGTCGGCTGACTCTTCTGGGTCGGGGGTGTGGAAAAGCCCCACAGCTCGATGAGACACTCTGACCAAAGGACCGCCCGGTAGAATGTCTAACAATGGTGACTCCCATCCACAGGTATGGATGACGGATCCATGGATGCGTAAGCTCACTGTTCTGCTCTTTAAAGGAGAAAAAGAAATCAGAAATTGTGTACTTGTATCCATTACCTCCCGGTGATAACTGTTTGACTAAGACACTTGGCTTGCAGAGGAGAGTTCCGGAACTGTAAAGACAGATAGTGGCAATGTATGACAGGGTCTTCATGGGGATGGAAGAGGAAGACGCTCCCGCAAGAGACGCCCAGGGTGACTCTGTACCCTGCGTAAACCAGACTTTCATAAACCAGACTTTCTGAGCCCGGGCTGGCTTCCCAGCTCTCCCGGCCACCACCTGAGAAAACCCCAGGGCTCAGGACGGCCACCCTGGGAGGCAAGGGCTTTCCTGCACAGGTGGCCTGGGAGGCAGCTCAGGCCACGGGCCGGACGGCAGGGGCGGGTGGAGCGTAGGAAGGATAAGAACAGAAAGGAATCTTCCACAGGGCGGCTTTCGTCCACCAGCTCACCTCCATCTCTAACAAAACCAAATCCGCAAACCAAGAAAAAAATCACACCGTGTGGCAGCTGGCGTGAGCCCATCTGACGGGGTCCAAGAGCAGGCAGGGCCCCTGGGCTGGGACGCAGGGGCTGGCCTGGGGCGGGAGGCCCTGGGGTGCTGGGTGCAGTGCACTTGGACTCTCTTCACAATGGCTTTCCACACAAGGAGGTTTCAGAGGCTCCACGGGATCTGAAGAGGCAATGCCTCCTCTCTCCTCCATTCTGATTTGGGTTTTCTCCGAGCGAGGGGCTTGGTCAGTGAGAGCCAGGGGAGAGCAGACGTCCCTTGTCGGGCTTCCGAGGGGCGGCTCCCTCCGTCCCGGGTGCTGGGGCCCTTCCGGCACAAGGTGTTCTTTGTGCAGCTCTCTGGCCTGACCGCAGTCCCAGACCAGACACCTTGCCTTGGGATGTTTCAAAGCAAAATCGAGCAAATAACACCGTCTCCTCTGGTCACGAGGCTGTGTTCTGTGGCCAACTTGGGCACTTTTCATCCCCAGTCTTTTAACGGGAACATTTGTCGTCAACATCCGATGTCTTCCTGAGGGGGCCACGCAGCAGCTGCCGCGGCCTGCGGTGCCACGCCCCGGGGGGCGCTCGTCGACCCGGCAGAAGTGGCTGCGTCCCAAGCAATGAGGGCGCCTTGCCAGTGCTCTTCCAGCCGGTCTGGTGGCAGGCAGGTGGCCCACGGAGCTCTCCACCCCGAAGGCGGCTTTCTCCACCTGCCCTGCTTTCAGCTTGCATCCTGAGGCCCAGGGCCTGAGGCAGAAGGTGGGGGGTTCTAGTCCTGGCCCAGTGCTAACGTGGCCACGGGGCCGGGGGTTCTTTAAGCTCTCTGGGTCTTCTTCGTTTACTGTTCTGTAAAATAAAGGGCCTGGGCCAGGTGAAATCCAAGTTCCCTCTGAGCTCCAACCCTCCGCGTGGGTGCCAGGCTTTTCCACGGCTAACCACACAAGCGAGGCCACAGAACCCCCTTCTTCGTTCAGGGCCAGTTCACCCTCGGCACCACCGGAGGAAGCCTCGCCTCCATTCCGGAAGAGAAGGGAGCCTGTGACAGCCACCTATCTGAATAGAATACCTACTCTGGCTTTTTGATGTTTTTTTTTTTTGGGGGGGGGGGGGGGGGGCGTTCCTGGCAGAGACGGAGAAATGAAGGGGACTTGGTGAGATGTAAAAACCCACGTTGTTTGGCAGTGTCCTCTGGGAAAGGCACCTCAGCACTCGGAAGTGTCCGCTCCTTGCTCAAGCGGAAGGAGAAAAGCCCTGTCTCCCTTATTTACACCCCGCCCGTGGCCCCTGGGGCTGGAGGGCATCGGTGGCCGCCTTCAGGACGACTCATCCAGTCCAGACTGGGAAGGGCTTCCCAATGTCCGTCTGAGAGGACCTTCTGCTCCAACAGCCAGTCTCTCCCCCCAGGGCCAGCTGAGCGCCCACAGGTCACTTCCCGTTGGCCGCGTCTACCTTCGTGTTTCCAGAATGTTACGCACTAAGACCTTCTTCGCTAGACTCTCTTCGCCTCAACAGAGACTTGAAGGGAACTCGGGACTCGAGAAGGAACGGGGGATGGCCTGCCGGGGCCACCCTGGGGCAGGGCTATCTCCCTGCTTCAGATACAATACTGTCTTCTCAGAAACCAGGCCTGGCGGGAAAAGTGTTTAGTGGGGCGACAGTGACTATGACCACCCCCGAGCCTGTGCCTTCCCGGCCCGCACCCCTCAGCCGGACAGGGATGCCCCACTGGGTCACCAGCTTCTGACCAATGAAGAAGTAGCTGCCATTTGCATCCGAATGGGGGGCTCAGAGGAAGCCTCCTGGCTCTTAGCCTTTCCCAGTTTGCTCCATCATTCAGGAAGTCCTGACAGCCAGAAAGTGACGACGGGGCTCTGGGGAAAGCCCTCGATGGACCCCACTCACAAACTTCCCCTGGATGGCTTCCCAATGCACCTCCTCCTTAAATGCTCCAGCCAGAGTCTGGGGGGCAGAACGGGGTGGGGGAAAGGGGTTGGAAGGCTGGAGAGCATCTTCGTTGCTTTGTGTTCTCCTGATAGGACATTTGGCGAAGCCCATGAAACTGTGTCATTTTGAAAAATTATTTTGGAATAAAGCTCCCCTTAGGTAGCTCTGATAACATCTTCATGAAAGCAGAAGTCCCCTGTCTGGAAAAAGATTCCTGAAAGCGACAGCAGTCAGGACGGCCATGAAGACGACAAGGAGATGAGACTGTAGGAAAATGCTGATCTGTTATAAATACCGCGTGTTGGGGGCCCGGAAGGAACTAAAAATCCTGCCAGGATGAGACTTTTCCCCCCAGGTTCCGGGAGGACAGACCTGGGGTGGGGGTGCTCAGAGGAGGATGCAGGCCTTCTCACAGGCCAGGACCACTTCTCACTGCTCCATGGCCGCCTCCCCGTGTACAGAATGTGCCGGTATCAATCGGTTTCTTACTACTAGTCGCTGGATGGTTTTTTTTTTTTTTTTTTTTAATGTGGCGTGATTTTAGAGGTTTTTTTGATTTCGTACACTTGTTCATTAGAATGTCCTTTCGTCCTTCAAAGTACCGAGAGTTAAGACAAATGTTTGGCAGTTACTGGAAGACATTTTATGGCTCTCCCGCAAGAGTTCTTACTTGATCTTTGATCTCAATATGTGCATCACATCTCAATATGTGCATCTAGGGTTAATCTGGAACATTTATTAGAGAGGCAGCCCGGGCTGAGGTCCTCCTTTACAGAACAGGGATCCGTTTTCTCTGTGCCCGCTGTGCAGAAGCTGCTGCACATACATCGTGCTGAAGCCTCACAAAGGCTGTGTCAGACATGTATTGTTCTACTTCTTTTTGTCCCCCGGGGGGGGAAACAGACATTTAGAGAAATATGTAAGTTGCCCAAAGTTACTCAACCAGTGTAAGACCTCACATTCACTGGGCTCCATAGTGTCAGGTGCTGTGCTAGGCACTTTGTATACACGATCTCATTTCATTCTCCCCTCCAAACCCAGTTCCAACAACAACTACGTTTTACAGATGTAGACACAGAGGTGGAAGGTCACACAAAAAAGTGACATCGCTGGGACAGGACCCCTAGGCAGCCCAGCTCCAGAAGCGGCACCCCTTAGCCCTCACTCCCTGGATGATGCCATCAAGCGACCTGACTCAACCTCTCTCCTGGATCGGAGAGACCGTGGCTGTGACCCAGGTTGCTGGGCCCTGCTAAGCACGCCAGGCACTCTTGGGGCTGACACAGCCTACTTCCTGGGGTGGGACATGAAGCATGTGAGGCATGGAACTTGGTGCCTGCCATGTTGGTATTCCACGTGGGAAAGTGAGGAGAGGCCTCCATCCCTGTCCTTTTCTCCATTAGGAAGTCTGTAAAGATCTGTTGATGGATGGAGCTCAGCTGGGCCTGACACAGACCCTCAATACCTGTCACCATGGACACAACGACTCTTCACCGCTCCTAAACCATCCCTGTTTCCTTCTGAACACCTCAGGGGGACAGAAAGGGAAGCAAGAGGCAGTGTCGGCTGAAGAGATGGTACGTGTGTGTGCAAGAGAAGGGGTGCTGGAGAAGAGGCGGGGTTCAGAGGGGCAGAAGCAGGTGGCAGATGACAGGTGCCAACAGGCTGCGCCTTGGGGAAGGCAGGTAACCTCCCCTTCAATCCAAGGAAACCTCTGCTAATAACACCCCTCAACAGGGAGCCGAGTGGCTGGATTGCTGAAATAGGCCTACAATCCCCGAGCTCTGCCACCCATCTCTCTTTCATGGCCTCCCGCCCTTCCTCTGGGGTCTGGCGCACCCCCACTGACCCCTGCTTGGGTCAGGTCCCTTCAGGAGCAAGCAAGCCTGGCCTCTGGTGTCGAGTGGGGGCGTGGATCCTGGATGTGGAGGCTGCCTTCCTGGGAAGAGTACAGAGATTTTTTTTCCCCCAGTGATCGTCACTGTTTTAATTAATATGCTAATATTACATAGAACAGCACATATTGCTATCCTTGGGGGGATATCGCTTGAGCCTGAGAACAAAATCCTGTAGGGAGGCTGACAGAAAGATGGCGGCCCCATGAGGATTCTAAGTCACAGGGCTCTGTCATCCAGGCATGTGACTGGGTTCCAGGGCGTTACCTAGACTCAAGCTCACTTGCCTGGAGCCAAATACACAAATTCCAGGTCCAGATGTGGGGCTCTGGCTTGGCAAGGCGCCCCGACCCTATCAGCGCCGGCAGGCTTTCACGAAGCCTCCACCTTCCGCGCGTCACTGGGGTCTGGCCCGGCGGAGTGGGGTGAGGGTACTTACGAGGGACAGACTGCTGGAGGGAGCCTCCTCGGAAGAGAGTGGGGGGCGTCTTCCTGCTGAGCCTCTTCAAGAGGCGGTCACGTTCATTCATCCTGCGGGCAGATCAAAAGCGGTCAGTCCCGGTTCGCGTGGGTGCCTCTCAAGGGGCCTCACCCGGGGACTTCAGGTTTCGAAATAAAGTAGACAGGGGGGTAAAGGCCTCCTCACGTCAAGAAAAATGTCCAGTTTGGCAAGCAGCTCTATTATTTACAGGAGATGCTATCTTGGCGCCTTGAGTGCACTGCTCCCTCTTCTAAAAGGCGCTCTGTTTCCAGTCTGTCCTGTACGTGACGCCTCTGGACGCGGCCTTCCCCTTAATTGAAGTGCACTACAAGTGCCCTTTCATACCCGGCCCACCCTTGGCTTTCCAGACACTTCTGCAAGCAGTGATCTCTTTCTATGGTACAGGTCTTAAAAGCCTCAGTCCCACCTGCAGCCGCCTCTCCCTGAGCCAATAAAATATGCCAGGACGAGGGCCTCCCCGAGGTGCCTCAGGCCCCCCTGCGAGAGACTGATCTCTTTCTGCACAACCTGCTAGTTTGAAACCCAGTGAAAATCGACAAGGATTAGGAGCTCTTCCTGCCTGTCCGGAAAGGATTCCCTCCAAGGATGCCACCGTCGTAAGGAAATATGGAGCTGTGCTCTGGGACAGCTGCTGTTTATTCCGACAAACTGAAAGGGGGTGCTTTAAAATGCCCAGGGAGAACAAAGGGCTTGGATTTAAAAAGAATTTTTTTTTTTTTTTTAATGTTCACTTATTTTTTGAGAGACAGAGCATGAGCGGGAAAGGGGCAGAGAGAGACACACACACACAGAATCCGAAGCAGGTTCCGGGCTCTGTGCTGACAGCTCAGAGCCCGATGCAGGGCTCGAACCCACAACTGTGAGATCATGACCTGAGCCGAAATCAAGAGTCAGACGCTTAAGCCACTGAGCCATCCAGGTGCCCAGATTTGTTTTTAAATCCTGATCAGCTGCTCAGACCTGGAAAATCACTAGAACTCAAAAGTTTATCTTCATGTATGGAAAACGCTTTGAATACTGCCTGTCCTCAGTTCTGGATTTTCTTCTTCAGGAGCCTGTTATACATATAATCCTGTCTTCCACATCCCTAAGTCTCCTCTACATTTTCCATTTCCTTTCTTCCTTTGGTTTTACCTAAACTATTATTAACCTGACTGGCATGCTTTAATTTAAATTAGAACCCTTCTCCTGTCTACAAGAGTTTATCTATCTTCCAGATACTATTTTACTCTTTCCATATCTTCTTTCTCCAGTATCTTACAGGTTCTTTCAGACATTCCTTGCATCTCCTGTTCTTGGGGGTGTGGAGGGAGGGCCAATAAATGTCTGTGGTATTCCATGACCCGCCTTCACTGTGGTTCATTCACTGTGTGTGCTCAAGTTATGAAATCATGCTGCGGAATGATTTGCTTGGCCTCTGCCAGGATTCTATGGGTTACGCCAATTTTTATATTATCTTAGCTTAGTTCCTGTAGCATGGGGAAGAGTCTAAAATTGGACCTCATACATAAGCATGGGCTTCCAGTTTCTAGTGGGTAATTCTTTCTTCCCCACTGCTGCTTTGTCAAGCTGGTGAGGAAAATGTCTCTAGCTTCTGTTTCATTAAAATAGCAGCCCTACAAAATTTGTAGCTTTACGCATAGAGTTCTATCTCACGTGGGGCTGAGGCTTTATCTCCTCTCCCTACACTAATCTCTGAACCCTCAGTCCCTGAGCCTTATGTGGTTTGATGTCCCTTCCTCAGCTTTATCTCCCCTATGGCCTACTGGCTTCTGTGTGTCTCTATTTTTGGCACCAAGGTTTCTGTCTCCTTTTTGAAGTTGATTATGTATTAAAAGCCTTTCTTTGTTCATATTGCACCGAGCATTTCTATGCATCTGGAAAAGTCCTGAGTCAGCTCCATCTACCATATTGACTTTATCTGGTTTCTGTGAATAATTTCTATTCCCCTGACCCAATTACTGGAAAACATTACGGCTGCAAAACATGATCACAGAACTGTTCTTTCTCAAGTCTTGCCGTCCTTAGAAACAACCTTTTCTGGAGGCCCTTAAAGTGGCAGCTGAGTTGACAAAGGTTTGGGTGATATAAAGGGTCCCAGAGCTCACAGAACACTCTAGAGGAGATGCTTGAGCCCCTGGCTTCTCTATGTGCTCCAATGTCGAAACATCAAGTAATATTATTTTCCCAATTTCCCATTTTATTCTCTGCAGAAGAAGAAAGCATTAGGAATGACCATTATTAAAACGTCTCATGAACAATCATGTTGAAAAAACTCAGGATAGAAAGGGGTGATCATAACATTTGCCCTTTATAGTATTCTATCATCTACACATATTGTGGAAGCCATCTACTCACCAAGACATTGGAAAAAAGGTGAAGGAAACACAACCAAATATTTGCTTAATTTTGAATAATGGGAAGAAAAGAAAAAAAGGAGCACAAATTAGCACGAGGAAAAGCAATTTGTATCTATGAGGTTTTGGTTTAAAAAAGGAGAGAGAATCTTCAAGAAAACACTGGCAAACTAAGTTCGGTAGTATAATAAAAGGATTATACCATGATCAAATAAGATTTACCCCAGGAATGTAAGGGTGGTTCAACATATGAAAATCAATCCGCATACTATACATTAATAGAATGAAGGAAAAGCAACACATGATCATCTCAACTGATGCAAAGGATCTGTTAAAACCAATACCTTTTTATAATAAAAAATACTCAGCAATTAAGATCAGAAGGGAAATTCAACACAGCACATAAATTCCTTTTCGTTTATGAAAAACCCACAGTTAACATTGTATTCAATGGTGAAAGACTGAAAGCCATCTCTCTGATCAGGAACAAGGCAAAGGAAGCCTGTATTCACCACTTCTGTCTGATGAATTTGTTGGAAGTTCTAATAAAAACAGGCAAAATTCCAAAAGTCTTTTTTTTTTTGTAGAAATGGAAAAATGTGTCCGAAGATTCACAGGGAATTGCAAGGGACCCCAAATTGCCAAAATAATCTTGAAAACAACAACAACAACAAAATCATAGGACTCACACTTCCTGATTTCAAAACTTAACATAAAGCTATGGTAATAAAAACAGTGTGGCTCCGGCATAAAGACAGACATATGAATTAATGTAATGTAATTAAGCACCTAGTTTTTTTGGCTAGGTTACCAACACCATTTCATGAGGAGAGAATAGTCTGTTTAGTAAATGGTATTGGAATAGCTGAATTTCTACATCAGAAGAATAAAGTTGGGCCCTTACCTGCAATCATATACAAAAATGAACTAAATATGGATCAAAGACTTCAATATAAGAGTTAAATCTGTATGTACCTTAAAAGAAAACAAGAGTAAATCTTTATGACTTTGGATTTGGCAATGGTTTCATCAATGTGAACCCAAAACACAGGCAACAAAAGGAAAAATAAATTGGATTTCATTAAAATTAAAATCCTCTTGTTCATAAAAAGGCAACCACAAAAAGAAAGTATCTGCAACTCACATATCTGATGAGGGTCTAGTATCTAGAATATATCAATAATCCCCAAAACTCAGCAACAAAAAAGACAAACAACCCAGTTCAAAAATGGGCAAAGGACTTAAACTCTGTATCTATCCGAAGACAAAATACAATGGCCAACAGGCATATGAAAAAATACGCAACATCATTAGTCGTTAGGGAAACACAAATCAAAACCACAAAGAGATAGCACTTTAGTATCTACTAGGATGGCTATAACTGTAAAACAAACAAGCAAACACCCCAGAAAATAAGATGTTGTGGAGAGTGTGTGGAGAAATTGGGACCCTCACACATTACTGGTGAGATTAGAAAAGGGGAGCCATTGTTGCTCAGTACGTTCCACACAGAAGATGGCATCACACAGCCGTTTCACTCCAACATATACTTTCCCCAAAAAAGATGCAAATGTTCTTAAACACCTAGTACACCAATATCTACAGCAGCACTATTCACAACAGCCAAAAGATGGAAATGATCTAGATATCTATCAACAGATGAATGGAAACAAAACGTTGTATAGTTCATACAGTGGAATGGGACTCAGCCGCGAAGAGGAATCAAGTGCTGAGTCATGCTATCACACGGATAAGCCTTGAAGACATGATGGTAATTGAAAGCAGCCAACCCAAAAGGCCATGTATTCCACGATTCTATGAAATGTCCAGACAGACCAATATGTAAACAGAAAGAGTAGGGTAGCGGTTGCCGGAGTCTATTGGGTGAGTAGGTGGGGGAGGGGCATGGGGAACGACTGCTTCAACCACGTAAGGTTTCCTTTGGGGAGGCGGAGACATTCTGGAAGTAGACAGTGGTGATGGCTGCACAGCGTTGTGAAGGTACTAAATGCCATTGAATTGTACGCTTTGAAATGGTCAATTTCATACTTTGTGAATTTTATCACAATTAAAAAAAAAAAAAGAAATTTCAGTTAGAAAGGAGAGGGAATGGGTCCTGAATTGAAGTAAATTCCCTCCCACTGCCTGAACTGGTGGTAATGATGCAGTCTTCGCATTTTACTTCTCCAACAGTGGAGGGTATCGGAGGTGCGTTCCTTGATTGTGTCCCGTCCTCGCTGAAGCTGCCTGCTGACCGAGACTTACCGATCCGAAAGGTACATGTAAACAGAAATTTACCAACGGAACGTGCATTCGTGGTGCCTCCACAGTAATGATGGTGAAACCCAATCTCACCCAAGTCCGTATAAGAAGGCTCTGTTTAGGAGCTGACATTTCCAAGAGGGGGAGGCGTGCTCCGGTCTCGAAAACGGAGCAGTTTAGGAAGGAGCAGGGAGTGGAGAAGCTTTAAGTTGGGGAAAAACAAATCCTTAGGTCCACATTTCTGTCAGGAGGCTACTCCTGCAAAAATCACACACGCATAATGGCCAAAGAACATGGAGAATACAGCAAATACTTGCAAATCTGTTTTTAGATCTTGTCAGTAGTTACAGCTGCTAGGAATCGCAGCTGACACACGAAGCCAAAAGCAAATACGTATTTTTAGAACCTTA